CTTCTTCTTCTTCTTCTTCTTCTTCTTCTTCCTTCTTCCTTCTTCCTTCTTCCTTCTTCTTCCTTCTTCTTCCTTCTTCTTCCTTCTTCTTCCTTCTTCTTCCTTCTTCTTCCTTCTTCTTCTTTCTTCTTCTTTCTTCTTCTTTCTTCTTTCTTCTTCTTTCTTCTTTCTTCTTTTTTGAGATGGAGTCTCGCTCTGTCTCCTAGGCTGGAGTGCAGTGGCATGATCTCGGCTCACTGCAGCCTCTGCCTCCTGGGTTCAAGTGATTCTCCTGCCTTAGTCTCCCGAGTAGCTTGGACTACAGGTTTGCGCCACCATGCCTGGCTAATTTTTTTTTTTTTTCCCAGTAGAGATGGAGTTTCACCATGTTGGCCAGGCTGGTCTTGAACTCCTGACCTCAAGTGATCCATCCGCCTCGACCTCCCAAAGTGCTGGGATTACAGGCGTGAACCACCATACCCGGCCAAGCACCCTCTATTTCTGAAGAACTCTTCTACCTAAAAATTCTGTGCCTGCCTCCTTTCTCCTCACTGCTGTCCTGCCCCACAGGCCCTGGAGCCAATCTGCTCGTGTGCCTTGCTGGCTGCAGAGTGGGCTCTTGTCTGAGGGGTGGAGAGTACAGGCTCTGAGTTCTTGCCGCTGGGACCGTACTTTGGCTGTGTTCCTTCCCCACTGTGGCGCTTTGGCACTGTTCCCCAGTCTCTGCAAGCCTCATCTACCATTTCAAAATGGGATCATAAAGGACCAATTCGTAGAGTTATTATGAGACTTAAGTGATATAATATATTTAAAGTGCTAGGTGCCTGGCATCTAGTCATAAAAGCTCAATAAATATTTGTTGGGGGAAAAAACTCCCTTGGATTAAAGATCTTTCAGCCCCTTCTGTTCCTTAAGGTTCTCTGCTTCCGGTTCCCAGTCTAAGAAACTGGCTGGCAGGAATGACCCAGTGAATGATCCAACCCTTTCTGAGCTCAAGATTTGGGCATGCTCACTTCCTGCATATCCTCTGAGGACTCACTGAGGTGGGGAGGAGGGGTATGGACGGAGGCCCACAGCATTCTGCAGCTGGGCTGGGGCTGCATCACAGGAGCCTCTGAGCCTGGGGCCTTTGTTAAGCAGTTTTTGCAGTGAGTGAGGCTGAGCTTCCAGCCCAGGACTGCTGCCCATCCTCCTGAGCCTGCTGCAGGGCACAAAGTAGAGGGGCCCATACTTGGTGGGGGCCTTCTTGGCAGAGTCAGGATGTCCCTTTCTGGCCTGTGGCTTTTCTCCATCCTGCCTTCCCTTGATTCCCAGGCTCCATCTCAGTGAATAGTCGCAGCACACCATTCTTGGCAACTGGGGACAGCGAGATTCTGGACCTGGAGAGTGAGCTGTACCTGGGCGGTCTCCCTGAGGGGGGCCGGGTGGACCTGCCCCTACCCCCAGAGGTGTGGACAGCAGCACTCCGGGCAGGCTACGTGGGCTGTGTGCGGGACCTCTTCATAGATGGGCGTAGCCGAGACCTCCGGGGCCTGGCCGAGGCTCAGGGGGCTGTGGGCGTCGCCCCCTTCTGCTCCCGGGAGACGCTGAAGCAGTGTGCATCTGCCCCCTGTCGCAATGGGGGCATCTGTCGAGAAGGCTGGAACCGCTTCGTCTGTGACTGCATTGGGACCGGCTTTCTTGGGCGGGTCTGTGAGAGAGGTGAGGCTGGTTTTCATCCTGGGTGTCCCTGCTTCCCATCCCTGTGCTCCTTCTCAGGGTAACTCCTACTTACCATCCCTGTGCCACCTCCTCCTAGGGGATCCCCTCATAGACCTGCCTTAGGCTTGTCACCCTTGTAATGATTCTCTGGTCTTTTCCCTCCCCTGGCCTCTGCCTATCTTCCCCTTCCCTCTTCCCCGACTCCTGTGGGGCAGAGGCCACGGTCCTGAGCTACGATGGCTCCATGTACATGAAGATCATGCTGCCTAACGCCATGCACACGGAGGCAGAAGATGTGTCCCTGCGTTTCATGTCCCAGCGGGCCTACGGACTCATGATGGCCACCACTTCCAGGGAGTCTGCCGACACCCTGCGCCTGGAGCTGGATGGGGGGCAGATGAAGCTCACTGTCAACCTCGGTAACCATCCTGCCCTGTGCTTCCTGACCCCTCACCTGGCCTTGTCTCTGACCCACACCTGCCTCTGTCTGGAGAAGCTGGAGGTGGCACCAGCAAGAGGTGCCCTCAGCAGAGTTTGGAGGTGGGGAGGTGCCAGCCTGGGTCAGAGATCCTGAGAGCTCTGTCCCTGGTGAGGATGCACAGTGTAGGGTGACGCTCCATGCTGGATGACACTATGAAGGGCAAGACCCAGAGTGTCTGGGGTATGCTAATTGCCCTCCTAGGTCACTCATGTGGATCTTGGCAGCATCTGTCCTGCACACACACGGATGACACAGCTCATTTTGGTCAGTGGCGCATCCACTTACTCATTCATTGGTTCATTCATTTGAGAAGCACTTGCTGGTGCCTACTGGATACTAAGCCTGAGCTCAGTGTGGTAGCAGATACAGAGATGAGGAAGGCCTGGTCTCTGCACGCAGCTGCCCCCCACTGCTCTGCTCAGTCTAAACAGCAGTCTGTGTGTTGGCGTGTGGAGGCACATATGTGTACACTGGACACACAGATGTGCTGTCTTCCCCTTTCTAGTGCAATGGGCTTTCACATTTGAGCCTCATGGCTGTCCTGTGAAGATACTAGATCACCAAACAAGCGTTACTGTCCCTGTTTTATAGATTATGAAATTCATATATTGACTTGTTCAACATTACAAAGCTAGTGAAGGCAGAGGGAGGAGCCAGGACTCAACCTGGGTCATTTGCCTTAAAGTTCAGTGCTTTTCCCATTGCCTCAGACAGGGCTGCTGACCCTCCCCCTCAGGCCACTCATGCTGACTCGTGTCTCCACACATGCCTAGGATTGAGAGCAGGCCTTGACTCCACTTCACCTGGCAGTCCCTGGGGTGTCCATGAGGGCCAGACCATGAGCCTGTTAGGTTCTCCTCATGGGCTTCAACTCTCCTAGTCGGGGCAAAAAGAAAACAGCAGGTTCACTCATTCAGCTATTTATGGGACACCATATAAATGCTAGGTATGTTTCAAGCCAGGGGCTACAGCAGTTAATAAGCAGTCCCCACCCTTTTGGAGCTTTCAGAACAGGGGGACCCTGGAAATGGGAGGTCCTAAGCTGTTCAGGCTGAGGTCAAATCTGTCCATTTCAGACTGGCCTCTAGAAGCTTATAAAGGTGTAGCACCTGCCATACTGGAAGTTTGCAGGCCATCAGGGTCACCTGTTATGTCCTGGACCTAGATGGGAAGCAGGGCTCTTCTGAGCAGGTTAGAATACACGACTGGAGAGAATACAGAGCTTTGACCTTTTTTTTTTTTTTTTTTTTTGAGACAGAGTTTTACTCTTTTGCCCAGGTTGGAGTGCAGTGGCATGATCTGGGCTCATTGCAATCTCTGCTCCTGGGTTCAAGCGATTCTCTGCCTCAACCTCCCAAGTAGCTGGGATTACAGGTGCCTGCCACCACGCCTGGCTAATTTTTGTATTTTTAGTAGAGATGGGGTTTCACCATCTTGGCCAGGCTGGTCTTGAACTCCTGGCCTCGTGATCCACCCACCTCGGCCTCCCAAAGTGCTGGGGTTACAGGTGTGAGCCACTGTGCTCGGCCGAACTTTGAACTTTTAAATACTCATCTGGAGTCTCATCCTAACGTTGGTCTCCAAGGCATTTGTGGGACAGACTGTGGCCTTTGGGGGACCCATTGCCTTGTAAATATATTTATACTATGTTCTTTCCTTTTCCCCTTTTGGCCACCTGGCCTTTGTATTCCTAGGACAAAGATTTGCTGAGAGAGGTGGGGACTGGAGGTGGGGAGATGTGCAGGTGGCCAGGGCCTCAGAGTTGTTTGAAGGGTTCCCCTCAGCTCTCTTTCTAACCACAATCACAGCCTGTAGAGCAGGTGGTGTGCAGCAGCTCTGCAGGGGAAAGCAGGCTGGGAGACACTCTAGTCAAGTCTGCACAATGCCCCTTGCATCCCTGAAACTGTCACAAGAGGATGGCCCCAGCCAAGAACCCCGTAAGTGGCTCTATACTTCCAAGTCTGCCCAGATCTGTGTATCTAGTGTGAGTTCCCCCCCACTTTGCCTAGGCATGTGTGTGTTGTCTGCATCTAAGCACATGTCTCTGTGCTTGCTGGGGACACAGCAGGAAAAATCTGGGGCCTTAGATTTGCAGGGAAGGCAGATGCATTTTGCTTATTTGGACTGTCTTAGGCCCCTGGGAAGAAGCTTGTGTCTTTTAAGATTAGACAGGAAACAATGTCTTTGGTCAGGAAAACCTATCCTGTGGGCCCTTGGGACCCACCCTCTCCTCTCCATGGGTGCACTTTTCTCTCTGTGCCACATAAGTGCTCAGAAGTCAGAGAATAAGGTGGCCTCTTGGAAGACACATCATGTTAAGAATAGGCTTCCCAGACTGACAGATAACAGGACTGTCCTCCCACCCATTTCTTACCCCTGGCTGTGCCCCTGCCCCCATCTGACATGTATGAGCTGAGATGCCATCTCTAGCATGGCTCCTGACAATCCACGACCAAAAGCTTGGTGCAAACACATCTGTCTATAGATTCCTCCTGTGTAGGCACTATGGACGTGCAGGTGGTCCCTACCCAGCCACCAAGCCTTGGGTTGGGATGGGAAGAATTCTGGGCTCAGGGCCAGAAGACTTAGGGCCTAACCTTGGTATCTTTTACTGTTGAGTAAGTCATTTCCCATCTCTGAGTCTCTCTCTCTCTCTCTTTTTAATCTTTAAAATGGAGATAAGAATCTTCACTCTGCCTACGTCTGTGGTGCTTTTGAGGCTCAGATGGAAGAATGGGAATGAAACCATTGAAACCATTGTGCAGATTCAAGGCCCATAGTAGAGACCCACCCAGCCTTCTTGGAAAACCATATTGGAATAGAGACCTGAGTTTGGAGCCAGGCCTGGGAGCCACTTCCACATAGCATGGACAGACTGGAGTTGTCCTCTACTAGGTGTGCCATGGGGTCCCAGCTGTCAGTGCAGCTGATATGAAGAGTGCAGTGTAAAGAATCTCTGAGCCGCAAGGCATCACCTCCTTCAGCCTCCTGGCCCTCGTGAATCACTTCAAGAGCCCCATTCCTGTCCCCCATTGCTTACTCCCCAGGACTTGCAGGGCCTCACAGACCGGCAGCAACACCAAGGCCCCAGGCCTGGGCTGGACTGTCTACTGGGGAACAGAGAGAAGCCTGGTGAGGCTTGGTCTCTGGCCTCATGATCTTATCCTGTAGAGAGGGAAGCTATTGCTCCAGGAGGCATCTCTGCAGCTCCATAGACACTCAGTGGATTGAAACAGACCCTGGACTGGGCCTGAAGAGGGAGCGGAGGCTGCGGGTGACCACTTGGTGGGATTGCTAAGTGCTAGCCTCAAGAGATGGGATATTTGCTAGATAAGAGAGGGCCAAAAAGGCACTGCTGCCTCTTTCCAGGCAAAGGATCCTAAGGAACTTGTCATGCCTCCTGCTGCGGCTCCTCAGCCCCCACTATGTTTGCAAACACTGAGCAAGTTCCTTGAGCTCTGCTGTCTGCAGCCCCTGAGTTGGGGAGTTGATCTCTGTCCCTAGAGGATGGTGGAGTCCCCTGGATTCTTTGCCCTATCCCAGCATGGCCTGGGTCCCTCCCTGAAGGGGAGGAGAGGACAGGCCAGGCTGGGCACTGTCCTTTACTAGATGTGCCCCTGGGGTCCCAGCTGTCAGTGCAGCTGACATGAAGGGTGTGGTGTAATTAAAGAATTTCTGAGTTGCAAGGGGGTTACCTCCTTCAACATCCCTTCCCACCCCGTGAATCACTCATGCACTGCCCACCAGTAGGAGGCCTTCTACCTCCCACCTCCAAGATGGACATTCTGATGATTGAGTGGTTCTTTCTTAGTGCCATCCTGCCTTTCTGAAATTCCCACTTGTTGTGAAATTCCCATTAGTTCTGCCCCCTGGAATCAAACAGAGAAATCTAACTCTCGTTCATGTTTTAAATCAGGCTAAATACACACTGTATCCCAAAGTCCTTTAATCCCTGGGGTCATGGGAGGGTGCATTGCCTTTCCACCTGAGGCTGGTCAATAATTGTCAGGGGGGCTGCCGGGAGCCAACTCTGAAGGAGGGCTATGACAGAGTGCATGCTGCCACTCTGTGATGTCACTTCTGAGACAGATGTCTGGGAGCCTTGGGCCCACTGTCTCCAACCCACAGGGCCTGGGTGGGGAAGGAACCCAGGTGAGGCAGGGCTGGGAAGCTGGTGTTCTTTCCCCTGAGTTCCTTTCCATGCAGACTGCTTTGTCTCACCTCCCCAGCACATGTTCATACTACGACCCTGCTCTGTGTCCAGCCAGGGCCTTCGTGGGTCTGTGCCACCAAGACCACTCACTTCTGCCTATTCCCTGCACTTGAGGCACAGGTCATTAGTTAACAGGTTACTAGTTAGTGCCCCCCTGAACTTTGGTGAATGTGAATGTTGAAGGGACTGGGTTTCTCCTGCTCGCTCTCAGTCTCTGGCTTTCTTCTGGATGGGGCTGGCTTCCCTCTGGGTGCCCATCTTCAAGTCGTTTGCTCTTGCAAACCCTACTGGAGCCTGTGCTTCTGAGGGTGGAGTCTCTGCAGGGGCAAACCTGGAGCTGACACCTTTTCTCTGGACAGATGGACCCCCCATTCCTGGTGCTCCTTTGCTGGGGAAGGGGAAGAATCAAGCTCCTTCTTTGAGCCTTTTCCCCAGTAGGGGACCTGCTTGCCCGTCCAGCCTCCCCTTTTTTCTTTTTTGGACCCTTCATTGGTGAAGACTCTGCTGGCCCCAAGAGGGCACCCGTGACCTGACTCCAGGGCCTGGTACCCTTCCACCTCACCCTGACAGTCCTCCCCTTCCTCTTCTGTCCAGCCTCCCCTGTCCCCTCTGTGCAGCCGCTCCTTCCTCTGCTCCATTTTCTTCCTCTTTTCTCTCTGTACTCTCTCTACCTCCTTCCTCTCACTGACACTTCTCACTTCCCTCTGTGTCTGCCCTTTGACCTTTCTCTGCTCCTCTGCTCCTCCCTTGGTGCCAGGCTGTGGCCCAGGGTCCTGGCTGCTCGCCTCCACTCTTCTGCTGTGGTTGACAACGCGTGTGGAGCTCAGCTGTACTGCCGAAGGGCCGTGGCCCTCAAAGCCACAGGGGCATCAGTTTACCTCCACTGCAGGAACCTTCAGGGGCCCAGGGGATGCCAGCTGCTCACCCCCTTTGCTTCCTGGGCTGTGGGGTAGGCAGAGCCTGTTTGGGGTGGAGTGACAGGAGGCCAGGGTACTGGGTCTGTCAATCGAGGGCTGGGAGACTGCCCCTCTCTGAAAGGCAAAGCCAACCCAGTGTCCACCTGCTGCCTACTTCCTGCTCAGGATCCTACTGTTATCCATTTCCTCAGCTCACATGCAGAGAAGCTGAGGCATGGAGAGAAGTGCTTTGCCCAGGGTCACACGGTGAGTTAGTGAGTGTTAGGGTGGAGACGAGGACTGAGCTCCCCTGATTCCCAGTAAAGGATTTCTGCAGCTCCAGCCAGCCCCCTCCCTTGGGCTGAGTCAGGCTTGGGGTTTGATGGAGTGGTGCAGGCATCCTGAGGGCCTTAAATCTGGACTTCATAGGACGCTGGTCCACTATTTCTTCTGCAAGACGTGACTGGCTCCCACCTTTGGTAGATGTGTCTAACCAGAGAGATGGCCAGAGGCTTTAGGGCCCTGGGCTGCTAGCTCTGTGTAGACACGTGCTTTCTGACCACATAGGACCTTCCCAGTCCTGAAATCAGAGGATAGCAATGCCAGTACTGGAGCAGGGGCAGGAAACTTTGCTTATGGTGGCTACTTGTCCCCAACTGCTTTTTGTTCTCACAGAAGTCATATTTTGAGGGCTGCACTGTCTCCATCTATGTCACCTTGGCTCCTCTGACTAGGAAAGCAGGTTAATACTAGGTCCTCTTCAGGGTGAAGGACTCCCCTGATCCATCCCCAGTGGCAGCCTGGCATTTCCCACGATAGGAAGGGGTGGAAGGAAGGTTCCTGTAGGGGTGGTGCTAGCCCCTGGGGCTTTGGGAGGTGTATGGCCTCGGGAAGGGGGCCCTGGGGCAGACCCCTCCATTTAGCTCAGAGCCCAGAGGGGAACAGGGAGTGACAAGTCACACCTGGACTCTGAGGAGGGAGTCGTCCCAGAGCAGGGGATGCAGGGACTCTGGCTCTCCCCATCCATCTCCCTCCCAAAGACAGGGGAGATGTGGGGTTGGTCAAGCCCTCAGCCCCCATTGATCCCCTGTACGACTGGGATTCCCAAGGTGCCCATCTCCCTCAGACAATAGAGGTCTAGTTCCCTCTAAGAAGGGGGACACTAGCCCTCTTCCCATCATCTGACTGCCCTGCCTTCCAGCTCTGGGGAGGGTTGGAGCCCTCTTGGGGGCAGGAGGGACAGGGGTCTAACTGAGGAAGGGAAGAGGGCACCTGGGCACGCGTGGTCCCCGGAAAGTGGCCCTGGGGGGAACCCCGCCCGCAGACACCCCTCCCTGTGAAGGATGTAAAAAAAAAAAACTTGTTTTACCTTTTTGTCTCCCCTTCCCCTCTGCCCGCCCCATGGCCCCCCCAGACTGCCTGCGCGTCGGCTGCGCACCCAGTAAGTGGCTTCCCTCTTCTTCTGCAGAGACCCAAGGGGACTGGGATGCTGGACGCTGGGATTTAGGGAGGGAGGCTGGGAGGAAGAGCAGCTGGCTCGAGTGGTGGTTGGGCCTTGGGTGTGGGGAGGGGTGCAGGCAGTGGGGTGGAGTTGGGTGGTTGTGGAAGGCAGGAGGGACCAAATGAAGCAGAGCCAAGGAGAGCTGGGGGAGGGCCTGCAGTCAGGATGTTCACTGGGTTTAGGAAGGGAGAGACAAGAACACCCTTTGCCCAAGTCAGCAGGAGGGTGGGGAGGAGGTAGAAATCAAGGGCTGGGGCAGAGACTTGGGTAGCACCTGTGGCGCGATGCTCTGAGGTCCTAAGGGCTGGCAGGCAGGAGCCTGAGAGGGGCTGGAATAAGCTGCTGCATCTCCAGAGTTGGCCACAAGGGGGAAGGCGAGGTATGCGGGAAAGAGGATGAGAGTGTGAAGGGAGCTCTCCTCAGTTCCTGTGCCAACTGGGGTGAATTTCTGCCAAATGGGGGCTCTTTCTGTGGTGACAGTGAGGGCTCTTAGCAGGGGTGAGATGGAGAGTGAGCAGGTGGACATCTCCAGACATCCCAGTGCGCCTGGGCTCAATGCCCTGTCTCAGGGTGTTTCTGCATGGTGTGGCTTGGGGTCATGTGGGCGAGCGCATGTACGTGGTAGGCCCAGGCACAGAGACTGTGTGTGCTGGGCACGGGCACCCTGCTCTTCATGTGTGCGTGGCATGCTGTGTGTGTGCTGGAGTGAGCACTGGGCGGCCCGGGGATGACCAGGGAGTGCTACAAAGTCCAGCAGCATTTGAAAGATAAGTATGTTTTGTTTTAGACTCTGGAAGCTGATAAGCCTGGTCTTGAGTCAATGGCCATAATTCCTAAGAACTAGAACCTTCCCCTCTCTGGCCATCCTGCATATTTATGGGCAGTACATATGGTGGCGTGAGCTGGTGTGTGACGTTAACCAGGCATGTGTATGTAGAAAGGTCCCATTGGGTCCCGTTGTAGATGGAGGAGCTGGTATGTGCGTGGAGGCTGAAGCTGTGGGCTTGCATTTACATTTGGGTACTGTGAAGTTTTGAGTTTTAGGTCTGTGTTTATACACTGGAAATACAGCTTCTGGCCACACTCACTGAAGGCCCTTAGCAATCTGGGGGAAGAGTATGTTGGTCATAGGTGTGGGTGTCTGTGTGCAGGGCCTCAGGGTACTCTAGAGGCACCATTCGCTTAATATTCTATGTGCATGGCACCTCCTAAAGTCACACAAAGGGCAGTCCTGAGAGTGGATGTATGACTGGGATATAAAAGCTCTGCGTGTGCATGGACTCCAGCTGTGATGGGAGGCCATGAGTGTGTGTACTTGTATTCATGAGTGTGTTGTATGGCCAAATATGAGCCATTGGTCATGTATGTGTTCATATGTGGCATGTGCAGGGGTGGGGAGGCTGTCTGTGTGTCCAAGGTGATATAGGAAGTCAGCTGTGAGCATGTATAGGTGCCCTACTCACTCCCCCCTTGGTGCCGCAGGTAAAGGCCCCGAGACGCTGTTTGCGGGGCACAAGCTCAATGACAATGAGTGGCACACGGTGAGGGTGGTCCGGCGTGGCAAGAGCCTGCAGCTGTCTGTGGACAACGTGACTGTGGAGGGTAGGTGGTCTGGGCCCAGGGAGGTGGACACATCTCCAGTGACCTATGCTTGGCCCTGTTGTACTTGGTGACCACTGCCTGGGCTGCTGTTCCTAGGGTGGTGTTCTGGCGAGCTGCCTCTGCCATTTCTCCTTCGGGGTGAATGTTATGGGCATCGGGACCCCAGGAACGATTTCAACTCCCTGCAGGCAGCATTCCCCTGGCAGCCTGTTGGCTCTTGACTGGCGAGTCCTGCCACTCCTCTTGGAGCTGTGCTGACTGCTAGTGCCTAGCTGAGGACATCTCTGCTCATGTCACTCATGGGTGGCCCTCCTGTGGAGGGGGGGGCTCCTGGGAACCCAAGCCCCAGCCCTGCCCCAAAGCCGTCCCCCTCATCTTGGTCTCCTGTCCTGAGCAGGACAGATGGCAGGAGCCCATACTCGGCTGGAGTTCCACAACATTGAGACGGGCATCATGACAGAGCGGCGGTTTATCTCCGTGGTGCCCTCCAACTTCATCGGGCACCTGAGTGGGCTGGTGTTCAACGGCCAGCCCTACATGGACCAGTGCAAGGATGGTGACATCACCTACTGCGAGCTCAATGCTCGCTTTGGCCTGCGTGCCATCGTGGCTGATCCCGTCACTTTCAAGAGTCGCAGCAGCTACCTGGCCCTTGCTACGCTCCAAGCCTATGCTTCCATGCACCTCTTCTTCCAGTTCAAGACCACGGCCCCTGATGGGCTTCTCCTGTTCAACTCAGGCAACGGCAATGACTTCATTGTCATCGAGCTGGTCAAGGGGTGAGGGGCTGGGCATTGCACGGCTGTCAAGGAAGTGGCCCCCGCCCCCTGCTGAACCACATACAGCTCCCCCAGCTACTGGCTGAGGTGTCCGATCCCCCTAGATCACAAGTCAAGTTTCAGGTCCCCAACCATAAGTCAAGAGGCTCCCTCTTCAGCCAAGATGGAGAAGCACGCCCTCTTCCACTCTGCTGACTCCCCAGCTGCTTCCTTGCCAGAGTTCCCAGTTATATCTGTTCTCTGTCCACTGTCATCTTCTCTACAGGCAGAAGTCAGTCTTGCCCCTCTGTTGCCTTAGGGGACCCCACCCCAGAGCAGCCCAGTCCCTGCCTCCAGAGGACCCTGCTGGCCCACAAACCTCTCCCCTCTAGCTCCTTTTCTGAGCTTGTGTCACAAGAGCCAGCTCCTTGGTGGCCCTCCTTCCTTACATTCTCCCCATGACAGGACCTCACACCATAGCACTCTTGCCATTGGTTTTGGTCCCTCTCTTCTGGGGTCTCCCTCTCAATCCCTTCTTTCCATGGCACCTAGGACCCCTGCCAGCCATAGCTTCTCCTCACCCCACCTTCCCAGCATCACCCCCACCCTGACCCCGTGTCTCCTCCCTACTGTGGGGCAGGTACATCCACTACGTGTTTGACCTGGGGAATGGCCCGTCCTTGATGAAGGGGAACTCAGACAAACCAGTCAATGACAACCAGTGGCACAACGTGGTGGTGTCCAGGGACCCAGGCAACGTGCACACGCTCAAGATTGACTCCCGCACTGTCACGCAGCACTCCAATGGCGCCCGAAACCTCGATCTCAAAGGTGGGGCTGGGGCCTCTGGAAAAGGCCTGGCCCTAGCCCAGATACCCCTCACCCCAGTGAGAGTACCCATTCCTGGGACGCTGCTTCCCTCGGTTCCCTGCCCCTAGTTTCTACCTCTCTTTCCCTGTCTCCACTATGTCCAGCCTGACATTTTCCTGTTCAAGTTCTGCTTGGCTCTCTTGCGAGTCTGCATCTCACCACTGAATGCCTGGTTGCAGGATGCATCTCACAGGGTGCTTGGTGGCCTCATTTCAGAGCTAGGAGTAGGTAGCCCAGGCCCTCCAAGGACCTCCTGGGCCTCCAAGGTTGAGAAGCCTATGTTGGTTGAGGGCTGGAGTGAGAATAGGGAGCTTAACATCCTCCTGGGTAAGGTAGACAATATGGGGCGAAGGACGTAGCAGGAGCTAGAGTCCCCGAGTCACCTGTCTTGGGCATTGACTGGGCTAGCTTAGGGATATTTTGGACGTAGGCTTCCCTGGTGTGCCCAGGGTCACATCAGGGTGCCACATTCCCCAGGGCCTCTTCAGTGGTCATTGAAGCGGTCATTGACTGCCCCCAGAATGGGTGAACTGAGAGATCAGGGAAGAGGAGGGTGAGCTAAGGCCTGAGCATCGGGACAGGAAAGATGCAGCTTCTCCAGAGCCTACTGAGGGCAATGTGATCTATTTCTTGCACATGCCCAAAGTAGCCCTCAGCCCCATAGGAACCCCTGGGCGTCAGCCTGACTCAAACTGTCAGAGCTTGGGGAGGGTCCTCAGAGACCATGGAATTAACTGCCCCACTCCCCCAAATCTGAGATCTGTGAGATCTCCCGACATAGTGCTGTGAATTCCCCTTGCTCTCAGAAGGGGGCGATGTGTCACAGAGAATCCAAAGTGCCAGCAAACCCAGGGGTTATCTTGGCGGGTCTTGTGTTGCACTGAGCCTGTGGCCAGGGCAGCAGACTGACCAGTGTCTTGACTGAAGCTGGGCTGTGGGCTGGCCAGGGCTTCCAGGGCTTCCAGGGATTCCAGGGGTTAGGCTCTATGGCAGGGGATCAGGTGTTGCGGAGAACTTCCCAGAGTCCCAAGGCCAAGCCCTAGTTGTTGTGGGAAGGGAGCTGGGCTTTGAACTCCCTAGGAGACAGCCCAAGAGTTGGGAAAGGCTTGAATGAGTTCTGGGAATGGGAAACTTTGGGAGGGAGGGAATGGGGGTGGAGGGGATCGGGCTGCGTATCTATGAAAGGCCCTGATTACGGGCCGGAACTGGAATCAAATGTGTGGGAGAGAGCACAGAGCAGGTTCCTCCAGCTGTCCCCCAGCCCCCACTCTCCCAGGCATCTGGGCTTCTCTGGGAGGGGAGCAGGCAGATGGCAAAGTGGAGAAGGAAGAGGTGTCGGAGGGTGCGGGTTGTGCAGGTCTCTGGATCTCTGTTAAGGACCTGGAATCTGGGATGGAACGCAGAGAGCCCGAGAGGGCTGGGAGGACCTGACAGCCAGATGCCGTTGTCTTGGGAAGGGAATGGGAACCTGGATGCCTTGGTTGACCCCACTCCCTTTGCAGGGGAGTTGTACATTGGCGGTCTGAGCAAGAGTATGTTCAGCAACCTGCCCAAGCTGGTGGCCTCCCGGGATGGCTTTCAGGGCTGCCTGGCCTCAGTGGACCTCAACGGACGCCTCCCAGACCTCATCGCCGACGCCCTGCACCGCATTGGGCAGGTGGAGAGGGGCTGTGATGGTGAGTGGAGGGTGGAGGAGTGAGGCGTGGCCCTACTGGCTACAGGACCGCCAGCTGCAGAGGCAGACCAGGGCAGGTAGCCTCTGCTCTGCAAAGGGGCCTTCCTTCTCAGGCCTTATGGGAGCTTGCCCCCACAGTTCTGGGGCAGGGATACAGGTGTGTGAAGGGTCACTTGCCCTCCCTGTTGTCTCACACCCTGGCCCCTTGTCACAGTCCAAGGCCAAGCGTCGCAGACCTGACCCGCCCGCCCCAATCCCTCTCATCAGTACTTGGCCCTTTCAGCCAGGCAGAACTCAGAGTAGGACCTCTCTGCCTGACTCTGAAGCTTCTGCACCTCCTGGGGAGAGAGGGGGCTTGGCTGAGCCAGGGGTGTTCCTTTCTCCTGCCCCTTCCAGGCCCCAGCACCACCTGCACTGAAGAGTCCTGTGCCAACCAGGGCGTCTGCTTGCAGCAGTGGGATGGCTTCACCTGCGACTGCACCATGACTTCCTATGGAGGCCCTGTCTGCAATGATCGTGAGTGCCTGGGCGGGCTGGGGATGGTTTGGGGAGACCAGGGTCCATTCCCAGCTGTAGGGGCTGCCAGGGAGGAAAGAGGGCCTCTGAGCACTCAGGAGCTGTGTTGCTTGCTTCCTTCTCATCCCTTGTCTGCAGAGTCCCAGGGGAGCTGCGGCCTGCTGTCCCCTCATAGGGTCTTTCTCCTGGGACTGTGCAGGATTGCTGCTGCCTGAAGCTCTGGAGGGGCCCACTGATAGATAGCCTCTCCTCCTTGTTCTCAGCTGATGGGACCCTGATCCCTTCACCTAGAACCAAAGGTGTTGGCCTCAGTGGGGTGAACTTGCTGCCGTCCTGTGTGGTTTTGGTGATGGCCTTACATGTATTTGTATCTCACACAGACACACTATTGCACAGGGAGGGGGGCTGTTAACAACCTGCACCCCCTTTGATGCCCTCAGGGCATGAAGTGGGAATCTGTTGTTTCCTGCTGAGAGCAGGACCACACCCCAGAGGACAGGCTTTGGAGGCTCCCAGGAGGCTAGGCTGCTGGACAGCCGGTTTGCCTGGAATGGGCTCCTCTTTCTTCCCCAAGCATCCCAGCAGCAGTTTGTCCCCTTGAGCTACAATGTCACTCCCTACTGTCTTCGCTTGGTTCTTTTCCTCCCAGGCTGGACATTTGCTTGCCAACTTGCATTCTGTTTGAGGCCCCTCCCCAGAGAGGGCAGGTTCAGCAGCAGCTCCCAGTCCCTAGCGGTTGGTAGCCAGCAGCTGGTTAGAGCCCTGCAGAGGGAGGGCAGCTGAGGCAGGAATGGCGGAGAGGCAACCTTCTACTCTGTGGGGTAGCTTTGGCGTTTCCCTTGGATGATGGGGCTGGAGTGGGTGGGCAGAGTACAGCCTCCTCAGCATCGCTTGAATCATCTTCCCTGGGGTCCTGCTGAGAGACCAAGCAGAAAAGTCAGCTGCCTGGGAAGAAACACACACATGCACACACACACACACACACACACACATATCACGGAGCGTCTCCATTTTACAGACATGGAATACGACTGGAGAGGGACGGTCGATTTCTGGAAGTAGTTCATAGCAGATTTGGGGTGAGACCCCAGTCAGTGCCTTTGCCTCCATACCACACTGCTGGACCTTCGTCACCTGGGCATGAGTCCTGAGTTTCTTACGGGAGAAACCTACTGGGTCCAGGGGCTCTTGGGTGGTGTTAGTTTTTCTTTCCCCTTTGAAAAAATGTCTACCCCATCTCCCTCAGTGCTTTCCTTGTGTTCTTAGGCATGTCCAGCCCTTGGGTACCACCACATCCCCACTCTGTCCCCCAAGATTTTCCTCACCTGACCTGCTGCTCTCTGTGCCTTCCAAAGCCTCCAGACAATGGCCAGTTGAGGGTGTTCCAGCCCTCAATGCCAAGGCATGGAGACCTGGCTGTGGCTGGACCTCTTCCCCTCCAGCTAACTCAGCTTTGCACAGATCTGGAGACGATGGTAACTTCGTTGCTTAATGGTAACAGTCTCCACTAATAGTTTCATGTTTTTCAGCTTACAAAGCCCTTTTAATTTGATCTTCAGAGAAGGCAGTGGGCTTTGTGTTTAACTGATAAGGAAACCCAGGCCTCAGTAAGAGGCAGTTACTCACCCCAAGTCATAGAGGGTCGATGGTAGAGCTCGGCTGGAACTTAGGTGCGCCTGTTTGTCACTTCCTGCTGCTCATTTAGTCCCCAGGGGAGTGGTGGTGGTACCCATGGTGGGCACTTCTTGCCTGGGGTGGAAGAAATCAGGATCACGAAGCGCTGCTGCCCGTCGCCACTGCTTCACTCCCACACAGTGGAGCCTTCTGAAAAGGGGGCATGAGATGGATGGGAAGTGGGGGTTGTGCCACCTTTCAGCAGGGATGGGAAGAGCAACTTCTTTGGGTTCCAGGCTGGTGGGAGGGAGGGAGAGTTGGGGCTGGGGAGCAGGGCGCATCTTGGGAGGCGTCACCATCCCCAAGCACTGGCCTCTACAAAGCTGTGGAGCTAAGACAAGGTGGGTGCAACCTGGGGGCCACACAGGGCTCAGTGTGTTGCTGCTCTGAGCTCTGGCTCTGGGGTAATGCTGAGATCTCCGCCCCTGGAGGGCAGGGCAGGAATCTTGGGAGTGGGGCCCAATCCTCTCTTCTCCCAGGGCTACTCCTCCTTCCTAGCTTGTCTCTGGTTTTTCATGCTCTCTTTCTATGGCACGTCTTCTTGGGGCCCTGTGATATATAAGGTCAAGCTGGAACCCAGCAGAGAGACCTGTTCAGTTAGCTCTGCCTTCACCCCTGGGAGGCCCTGGGGGCACAGGCAGGCCTTGGTCTCAAGAGAGGAAGGAGGGTGGAAATGGCAAAGGTGGAAGGAGCAGGTCCTGTCCTCTGAAGGGTGGGGCTGCGGGCTGGAGCTCTCTGGTGGGGAAGAGACTAGGGTGAGGAGAGGTCACACCTGCAGAACAACTTTTCCCTACTTACCACCTCAATTTCTCCATTTGTGACATGGGGGCTACTCCTGGGGGTGCAGTGAACTTTGTGTTCCTTTAACGCTTATGAGTATCTCCTTTGGGAAGACAGGGGAGAAAAGATATGATGGAGGAAAGTGGACAGTGAATGAAAAAGAGAATATGAAATGAGAAAGGGTGGCTAAAAGGAGACACTTCCCAGGCCTGAGATTTGGGACTGAGGTGTTCCCATCAGGCCTGCTTGCTCCTCTGTCTTTCAGAGCCTGTCTCCTGCGTCTCCCGGCAGTCAGTTCCTTACCATCTCTGCCTCCCTGTCTCTGTTCATCTCTGCAGCCTCTATTGATCTCTTGCACACCTCTGTGTCTCCCTTCTTTTTTACCCTCTATGTCTCCCCCTCCCTTCTCAACCTTGCCCTCCACCCCCATCTTTCTCCAGTTCCCACTCACTGGTATTGATTGGCCTCTAGGCGGTTTCCCTTCCTCTCCTCTCGCCACCAGCTCCTCCCTCCCTCCCTGTGGGACCATAAATTTTCTGCCTGCTCAGAGCTGTGTCAGTCTATATTCCAGATCCAGGGGCCCAAGAACGGCATAGAGAGGTCAGGGGGACGTGGCCTCTGGGGGCCCCAGCCCTGCTCCTGGCCTGCAGTCTCTCCTCCAGCACTGTATCACCGGAAGCCTCCTCTGGGTGCCTCTGAGGACCGCTTTCTTCACTTCTAAAGGCCTGGGGTCCAAATCCAGCCCTGGCATGTAGTAGGGGTGGAGGACTGGCAGCAGCACTGGGGAGATGTCCTGGGTACTGATTACATCCTGGAACTGGGGGTGGCACATGGGGCCCGTGGTGACAGTTTTTGCTCCCAAATGGAGTTCAGAATCAATAAGCAGGAGCCAGCTCTCTCCAGCCCCTCCCCTTTCTCACTTCACCCACCCCTGCCTCCTGTCCTTTCCTTCCCCAGCCCTCCTCCTCACTCTGCTGCACTGTTTCTTCAGCTCCCCCAGGTGCCCTCTCCACCTCTCTCCTTTCCCTTCTCCTCTACCCTCAGCCTTCCCACCCCCTCCGCTGTCCGAGCCGGTCGGTTCATACCGGGCAATGGGAAAGGAGTCCCTGTGCTTACCTCTGGGGCCACAGGTGCTTTCCAGAGGCGTCCAAAAGTTTGGGGGACAGATCCCAATTGGAGGGCATCCTGAAGGAGAAGTGGTTTCCTCAGCTTGACATTCGTGGCCCAGGAAGGGTTTTGTCCTAAGTGGGACACTCCGTGGGCAGGTGTCCTCTAGACTCCACCATGGAGAGAGAGGTTGGAGCCAGGGGAGGGGCAGTGGGAATGGAGAGGAAAGATTGGAGGAGTCCAGGAGAGGCTTGTGCAAGGGGCTGGGGGAGCAGCCTTTTGGGGAGGTGGTGGGGAGCTGTATGTGTGTGGCATGTCTTACTCCTGAGTACCTCGAAGGCTCTGGGTGCACTGTGTGCTGTGGACCTTATTTTGGAGGGTGAGCTTGGAGGGCAGGGGTGTCTGTGTGTATGTTGGCCATTCATGGCCTGTGATCAAACGTGTGTGTGCACGCATGTATGCCCGGTGAGCATGTGTACATGCTCCCCTGAGAGTGAGTTGGTGTGCCCATGTTTGTGAGCACATGCATGCATGTATGTGTCTGAGCCTGTGTGCCTGCCCGCACACTGTGCCCGTATGGGCACATGGATGTTTCCATACCCAAGCCGGTACACATCTCAGTGTGCGTGTGCGTTCTGAGGGGTGCGTGCAGAGGTGGCCGCCGCGGCATCTCAGCAGGCTGTGCCAGAGAGCATTATTGGGGTTCATCCAGGTGGGGTGGGCGGGGAGGAAGAAAGTGGCCTCTCTTGCTAGCCTCAATCCCGTTCCATTATTCAGCAGGGTCCCTTCTCGAGGAGGGGGGTGCAGGAGGAGCGCGCGCGTCCAGGCGCGGGGGAGG